CCATGGAGAAGTGGAAGCAGACTTATTAATACTAAAGAGGAAAAAAAAACACATTTAGTTCCAGAACAAACCCAAGAACACCCACTGAACTCTTACTGCCGCTTGCAAGGCAGGACACTATGGCTCACTGGTCAAAACCTGTTCAAGGTCAATGCTGCAATAATGTAATTAAGTATTTTCTCATTAAGTAAAAGATTGGATTAGGTAAAATAAACAAAGTTTGAAGTGTTCAGCAGGTCAGGCAGCATCTGTAGAAGAGAAACTTCAATGAGAAATCATCTCAATCTGAAATGTTGACATGCTCTCTCTACAAATGTTGCCTCACCTGCTTAATGCTTCAGGGTTTTTCTAATTTCAGATCTACAGCATCTGCAACATTTGGCTTTTGTAAACCAAGATGAGGTTCATCCTCAATAAATACCAAAATAAATCAATCAAAAAAGACTGATTTTATTTCAGATCTCCAGCATCCAGACTGCTGGAGAAACTCTCAGGTCTGGCGGCATCTGTGCAGAGAAAAACAGGACACTGTTTTGAGTCCAATGACCCTTTGTCACAGCTGAAAGTAGTTGGGAAATTGTTGTTTTTAAGCTGATAATGGGATGGTGGTGGGGGAGAAGAATAGAATCATATAATCCCTAGAGTGCAGAAAAAAAAAGTCATTTGGCCCATCAAGTATACACTGACCCTCCAAAACAGCATCCTACCTGGACCCATCCTATCCCCATAATCCACATTTACCATGGCCAATCCACCTAGCCCATACACTTCTGGACTGTTGAAACTGCAAAAACCCACGGCAGAAACTCACAGAAACCTGGGGAGAACGTTCAAACTCCACAGTCACTAATGGCTGGAATCAAACCCAGGTCCCTGGGACTGTGATGCAGCAGTGTTAACCATTGAGTCACTTTCCTCCTCCTTTGGGCAGCACAGAGAAGGGATGAATAGATGGCGACCTGAGCCAGCAAAGGAATTGCTGATAAGCTTGGATAGAGATTAATGCTGAATGCTTGCTTACAGGATGTATGAGTAGTTGCTAATAGGTTGGCTGTGTTAGAAGCAACTCATACAGAACAAGAGATAGTAGGAACTGCAGATGCTGGAGAATCCGGGACAACAAGGTGCAGGGCTGGATGAACACAGCAGGCCAAGCAGCATC